AAAAAAAAATTTTTTTTTGAGTGGGGGGGGCAATGTATTTGCAGTCAATAACTATTCCTAAGATTTTGTATTTTTTCTGCAATGAAGAGGAGAGTTCAAGCCAAAATAAGAAGACAAATTACTTCCTACCAGTCTTCCATCTCGACCAAATAAATCAAGAAAAGATGAAATGAAATCACGAGATTTCTCTTCCCATTTCTGAATGAGTTCATTACGCTTTCCTTCTATGTTTTCTACCAGCATCTTGCCTTTATCACGTAAAGCATCCATCTTATTCTGGAACAAGAATTTCTTCTCCTATAAAAAAGAAATCAAAGTCAGATTGTGTGTTAAATTGGTAAATCCTGGTCTATTTAAAAAAATTTTACACATTGACACAAACGACTCGTTTAGACATAACTTTATTTAATAAAACTGCACATAAAATAAACAATAAAGTAATGATATTTATAATAGCGTACAGAGCATGAAACAGTTATGAGCGTTCAGTGTATGAAACAGTTTTAAGAGATGAAAGAAAGAAACTCACAAGAACGAGGAATAAAACTCTCAGTAAAGAAAAAAGTAGGTCAAAGATGTTTATAGCAGTCTATAAAACGAACCAAAGCTAAGTTATTACAAAGTAAAGTAAATGTAAAGTCGTAATGAAGGCAAACATAGCTGAATATGCAGAAATGTCTGAGTGTATGTTCACAAAGTGATAAACAAAGGATTTTGAATGAACTGTGCATGCGTATTTTAGACTAAAATATGTCGAGAAAGCTCAAAGAAACTGTATTTAGTGTAATATAAATTTTCTTTTTTATGAAATTACACATGGGTTAATTGCTTTTATGTGAAATACTTTGCAAATAAAAAACTAAAGTTGAAATCAAAGCCAGTCATCATGTGATAACAAGAACATTGTGCCATCATGCAACATACTCTTCATATTAAAAAGTTCGAATAAGCAAAAAATGGGTAAGATGATTCTGAATGGAAAAGCCAATATTCAATCCAGACTCCTCAGACAAAGGCCTTTCTAACAATATGAGATTTGTAGCGTTTCATCATGAAATGTGCAAGAAAAGTTCAGAACAAACAAATGCAAGGGTATTATTTATATAGATGATATAAACAAGAAAAAGAAAAATTATCATAACCATACAAAATCGGTTTTCTCTGTATAGAGTATTTTACTTGCATTAAAGCTTGGATCTTTAAAACATTTTAAGTTACATAACATTTGCCACATATAGCAGATGCAAGAATCACTTACTCTGTAGTGATTCTTGTTTGTAGTCACCAAAGGTCACAACAAAATACAACCTTTAATAATTATAGAATATTATTAAAAAAAATATTCTCACTTGTTTACTCTACTTCAAGAAAATAAATCAATTTACAGAACTTACGTTCAAGAAAGAGATATTCATTTCCTTAGCAGAATAACCTCGGGCAAGGTTTCTTCGCACATATAGATCATAATCTTTCACTATCCTAGAAACCAAATCAGATGTAGATACACCTTCCGTGCGTTCAGTGACGAGGAACATGCCTTTGGCTTTGATCTCTTTATAAACATCATCATGCCCCCCTATTGTGTAAGGCAAGTCATCATGGGCAACAAAATCAATCTGAATAAGACATCCCAAGACACTCAGCAGTTTATTGCAATTCAAACACAGTAATTTAAATGTCTAGTATTTTTGAAAAAAAAGATCATTTTATTCCTTGTTTCTTTCAACATTTGACAAATCAAATACTAACTGCTTAAAGAAATTTAAGTATTACTATATCATTAAAAATAAATATATTAAAACAATATATTTTTGAAATGTAATTAACCAAGTCAGAGCACTATTTTAATTAGGTATAAGGAGTTTTGAAATTTTAAAGCAATAGTTACTAAATAAAAAGTATAGATATCTAAATTTCTGTTCATAAGAAACAGTGCATCATTGAATTGGGGATTGGTACATAATTATGTTCACAGTAAAACCAAACAAGACAGTGCATTCTATCTTTACTGAAGTTATTATTAATCAATTATGGATCAGAGGTAGTAGTAGTTTTATCCTCTATCTAATAATTTCAGATCAGTGGCAATATTCACCAAAATGGTAAGAGTGAAAGATGTCAAGAAGGGAAGCACAATATTTAGTTAACCACCAGGACAACATCCACAAATTTTAAGGGTTTATTAAGTTAAATTTGGTTATAAACATTAATAGCTTTGGCTTTAGCTAAATAATATAACGTAGTCAGAGCTGTAGCAAAACATTTATCATCAAGAAAGTTTATATAAAAGTGAACAAAATACCTATGTAATAATATAGAGGTTGAAACTTGCACAACACTGGCACTCATTCTCCACAAAAAAAAAAAGGTTTAATATATGAATAAAGATGTGATGTTGAAGTCAGTGCAAGAAAAAAAAATCACTTTATAGTTATTTAAATAAAACAAAACGAAAGTAAAAATTTGAAATAAACTTTACTTAAGGATAAACCACAAAAGAAAAAAAACAACAATCGATTATGCCCAATTAGCAGCTATGGAAGTGCTAAGATGATAAAGGGGCTTTCACAGTAAGTCTTGGCTCTCTTGTATCTAAGATGAAACATTTTACTTTAATCTTAAAGTGTCAAAACTGGGTTCACAACACACATTCTATCTGTGGATGATCAACTAAAAATAAGTACCAAAATGCTGAAATATCAGTGCTTCATGAGATGGTCACAAGGTAGTCCTCTACAAACAAGGTGAAATATAATACAATGCAACTATCCCATGAATAAAATAAGAGATATTTTACCAGACAGTCTAAAGAAAGTAATAACTCTGGCTAAAATTAGCATTAACTCAATTATATTTTACTTGTTCTGAATCAGAAACTACAAAAATTAATATATATACACACACACACACTATCATAAACTATTTCTTTAATGTCGTAATTTGTATGTTTGTTACAAGGAGCTGAGAGTCATAATGATGACATTAAGATCAAAAGGTTAACAAGATTGACCTAGAACACCAAGAAAGTTGCACAAATTTGACATCAAGTTTATAGTAAATTCAATGGTAGATTATAAATACAAGACCATTGTGAAGTTATTCTTAGCTGATACAGTAAATCAGTCAATTTGTTTTTGTTTCAGCCATGAAGTGGTACAACTTTACTTTCTATGTCAGTTAGAATCATTTGAAAATGTGGCGTACAGTAAAGTGAAGTCAGTTTGTAAGAAACTTTAAATAAGGAAAAAACTTATTTGTTATCTTTTACATAGATTGGACTATGAATTATTTTCACCAGTTAATCTAAAATAACTTGCTAACAAAAAACTAATTTACAACAGTAGTGTCAGAAGTGGGTTTATTTGGGTGAAACTAAAATGGGATATGGGCATAACTTCAACTTTCATTCAAGATCACCACAAGAGAACACAGTGAAATGGAGAACATGCTAGACATGAAAAAAGAAACAGAATGAGACAGGAAGACAAGATAGAACGTGATAGAATATAAGAATAAAGAAACAGAAAACTGAAAGAAGAATAGGAAGAATGAGACAGAAAATTAGAAAAAAAGGATAAAAAATTAAAAGACCAGGAAAAGTGTGACAAAAAAATTAGAAGAATTTGACAAGAATTTAAGGAAGTCTTCACTGACCTCATTTGCATATCTTTGTTTGTTGAACAACTGAATTTTTTTTACTCGTCAGTTATATTTTGATAGTTGGGTATGTGATTATGAGATGTTTTTCCTATTAAATAATTTAGTGCCTCTAATGTAACCATTCAATTTCGAACATGACATTTTTAGAATCAAAATTAGTTAAATCTTTTGTTGATATTACTTATATAAACATAAACAAAATTAATCCACTGCAGTGAGACCTCTCTATACAATCTTTTATGTTGTTAGCAATAACTCATCAACCGGACATTATAAATTTAGTACTTCGAGGAAGAAGTTGAGGATAACCATACACTTAATTTTTATTATATCAGGGACTTTAAACATGGTTTAACCCTGGGAGTTCTAACTTGTATGTGTATTATTTGTTAAACATGTTTTTTTTAAAACTGTTTATGTACAAAATTGCTCACTAGGTCCCTAACTGTTGGTTCAATGCAAGATCACTTATTACACAAATATTTTAACAGAAATATCATCAATATTGCATTTAACAATTAGTACCAATAATTACTGCTGTTGTTTCTTATGTATTTTACAAAGAAAATGAAAATTTACACAAATCTTTTAACAGCCAAACACAAAATTACTCAATCAGATGCAATAAGTGGTAGTGAACAATATGTAAACAAGTTAACTTGAGAGTTATATGAAGTATAATGAAACTCCTCAAGTTTACACTGAGAATAAGAAAACATCTGACCAACTCTCAGTTATAAAAATCCTACTTGCATTTTTCAAGTATTTCAGCTGGATTTAGAAATTATGGGAATTTCAGTGAAAAGACAGCACAATAAATTCTTTAATTTACTTTTTTAATACCATTTTTAAAACTTATGTTTATTCAGGTTCTGAGTATCCACAGAGATAGTGTCGGTAAATGCAGGAACACCAGATTTCCACAGTTTATCCAGAATATTTGTAAGCACAGTGAACAAGTTTTGTAGGGTGGGAACATTCAATTATTTACAGGTTCATTTTTTCCACATATTCAGACAAAGCTATAGAAGGGTTAATTGCATTAGCTGTCCCTGGTTTTGAATTGATAGGCTAGAAGAAAGGGTATTAAATCAACAACATTCACTGCCAATTCTTAGGCTATTCTAATTGAGTTTTGTTTTGAATTTCGCGCAAAGCTACACGAGGGCTATCTGCGCTAGCTGTCCCTAATTTAGCAGTGTAAGACTAGAGGGAAGGCAGCTAGTCATCACCACCAACCCCTGGGCTACTCTTTTATCAAAAAATAGTGGGATTGGCCATCATTTTATAACACCAACACTGCTGAAAGAGTGAGCATGTTTTGTAGGGCATGGATTCGAACCTGCAACCCACAGAATGCGAGTCGAATTTCACCATCAGCCTTATAATACACTCATGGATCCAAAGAGTGGAACATTATTTTGCAACAAAAGGATACAAAACATGGACCCTTGGATTCATAATCTAGGTACACTAATTACTAGACCACACATAGCAGAATACACATTTGTTGGAAAACTTAACTTTCCACATTCCAATCATATCCTTTCTTGTACTTGTTTACATTGAAATTACAGATAGAGAGAATCTTGTCTCACGTTCATAGCCATTGTAACATCAGCTGTAAAAAATGTCTGTTGTTTTGGATTTCAAGGCCTAACTTCGCAATTTCAAATTGTATTAAATGTTTAAAATAAATGAGGTAATTACAAAATATCCATCACCTTAGATCAGTAGCATGTATACTTTTTTATGGCATGCCCTCCCTCTACTGAACATGCATTTTGATGAGCACTAAGTATAACTTATTTGTGGATGTACTGTACATGTCATCTTATATGTTAATTGTTGTTACTATATTACTTAATAGTAGTAAGGTAGTTTTTGAAACTTCTTTATTTTTAAATTTGTACTTTCCAGATATAAATTGTATATATATATTTGTATAATTGTATATATATATATTAAAAGTTATACTACGGAAACTAATGGTTACAATGTTAGTCATTACCTGACCCGTATGGAAAGAGTTAAGACTATATCAACTGTACTGATAATAACAAATTATAATAAGTATAGTTTCGACTATTTTCAGTTAACTTACCTTATGTTTTTGTAGAAAATCATTATCAATTACCCACGGACAATCTCTGACCACTTCGTCAACATAACGGCAGTGAGAAACAGCTTCATATCTCTCATCATCTGTCATGACAGTTTTCCCCTTGTTCTCATGTGTCATTGTATCGCTATTAACTGAAGTAAAATATGCAAAAACACATTCAAGTCACAAACCAATCATTAACCTGTGTCACATGTTTAAGATAATTAAAATAACAAAATGATATAAGTCAAAAACATGTAAAAATCACGTGACTGTTGACTTACATCATACACTGCAATTTAAGCCTACACAAGATGACTGCACAAAACATAAATAGGAAACTTGTACATTATTATTAATAGAAGTTATGTGTGTATAATTGAATAAGTGTCTAATGATATGATATGTCTCGTAACAGACACCTCCGTCTGAAGGGGAAAAAACAACGCTAACTTAATTCCACAAACTTTAGTCACTATGGGTAAAAACTGATGTTTCCAATTAGACAAGAAACATTAGACTTAAAACATTCTATACAGGATATCAAGTGAGTGGGTTGATGGAAAGACATCACGAGAGATGAACATCAGTTAATCAATTCAGAAATCCAGTAGCAGGTGAAAGTCCAATGTCCTAATGCACATCATGTCTAGTCTGTTTATTTCTTAGCTTGAACTCAGTTCGTAATTAAATTCAGACATACTTCACAATTTATCATGTCAATCCTCCCATTACAAAGTGGATCTACTTAACACTTTTTTTGGGGAAATCACTTTAACCTGAGAATACCACAGTGCGAATCAAAGTTTCAATTTAATAACAAATACTTGTATAAATAAGAAAATTTCACCTGCTAGAGCTGACAAGTACTTAACAATAGATATAAATTTCAAAATAATTTCCAGGTGACAGTATGGCAAGTTCTTGAACATATTTTAAACACATAATTTGTATGATCAGTAACTTTTGTAATTACCATATTAATTAAATTAACTTACCCCCTACAATAAGATAAGTGTTTGGGAAAGCACTTTTAGCCTGCATAAGCTGTCTTGCATGACCTTGATGAAAGAGATCGTAGATTCCATCAGCATAAACTCTAATTTTTCTTGGCACTGAAAAATACAATAATAAACATCTAAAGCATGCAGCTATAGAGAAAAAATATTGTGTTAAGTTCAGAAATAGTGTATTCACATAGTACACTTACCAACTCCACTTTTAGCCATTTCCATGGTAATTTTAATGGAATAGTTGCAGTTTCGTCTCTCCCTTATAGCCTCAGGCTCATTACTGAATGGAGCTGGTCGACAGCATCTCTAGACAAAGTAAAGATGCTTCTAAAGATCCACTCCAATCCATCTCAACAAACAGTTTATGGAGAAAGCAATGTTTATAAATCTTTGCAACAAGAGTTATTTACATGTTGAAATAAACATGAATTTTGACAATGAAAAGTTGATACGTGTATGTGTAAGTCCAACAATTTACACTTGAAATTTTTTAATTTGAAGAAACAGTTTTATAGTAATGAAACACTATATATAGTTTCACAAAATAAATGTGTATTTTCCCATCATTTTCCTTAGTTATACATAAAAAAACAATGTGTAAACTGCTATCACACACATAATATAATGAACCAAACTGTTCACCTTCTGTTTTATAGTAATGAAACACTATATATATAGTTTCACAAAATAAATGTGTATTTTTCCCATCATTTTCCTTAGTTATACATAAAAAACACAATGTGTAAACTGCTATCACACACATACATAGTATAATGAACCAAACTGTTCACCTTCTGTTACCCAAATATGTGAAATTAGTAAATTTTCATGACCACATGCAGTGTCAGAAATTACTCAATTTTTGTTTTACATAGATCTACGTTTTCCCCCATCATTGTTGGTAGATCCAAGCTTACCAAAAATGAGTTGAGCTCAGGTTGAGGTTCCAACACATCACACTTATTTGACACTACATTCAATTATAATAACCACAATACAGCAGTACAGTTTCTCTACAAATGTACAGATTTAGCATTTTCCACAAAAATGAATTACCGAAATAAATTAATTTTTCACCTAACAAAGAAAAAAAAAAAGAATATACTTCTTACTGTAATTCAGTATCCAATATCAGTGCTTCAGATAGCTAGCATATCCTTGTAAAATATGCATCATTCTTTGATAGATATTTGTCATTTTTCTATTTTATATCAGTTATGGATGTACTATCACTAATATACTACAACATGAATTGGTGTACCTACTGGTTGCAAACTGTGAAAATGGTTGTTTCTCCACACAGACACGTGCATCATGCTTAAAAAGAATGCAAACCACAACTAACAGTGTAATGATACATGCCACCATCGATAGATTACTATTATGAAAATCCCAATAGTAACGCATCAATGGAAAATTTTATAATTCTTCAAACTGCCAATACTACCCTTAACTATTTATGTTTTTGATAGTTTGTAAACTTGATTACTTTTGTATTACTTAAACCATTTCTCAGTAAGTTCCCTTTGTTTTAGACTGGTTTTACGGTCTCTTCTCACCTGTAAGCCTAAAATGAGCATATCACATCTGCCATTAGCAGTGTTGCTCATACAACTGGAGAATTAACCATTACTATAATTCTGAATTTACTATGTGTATATTTACAAAAAATGGCAGTCTTTTAGTAAATGTTAAAAATATGTTGTATACAAAAAAAATTAAAGTATCTACATGAAATGTGAATTTCATGAGTGATACTCATTTTCATTTTAAAGGTTTCAGTTGCGTAATCTCTAGAACCACTTAAATAAACATTGGATTTTTTTTTGGTAACATTGTATATTGTATCTGTATATTTCTTTATACAAACAACACATACCTGAACTTTCTATTTTTGATGAAGATCTAACAGATGGGCTATTACTTATTACTGAACCAAATAAACTCACCCAACTTTCAAATGACACTAGTAAAAAAACACTGAAACTGAAGTGATGCCCATGCTGAACAAAAATTATTTTGTACAAAATGAACAATCTAGGTTCAAAGGCATATTGGAAGGCACTTATAAAAACTCAAAACTGAGCATTTGTGTAAAATAATGGTGATCAATTTCCTAACATCCTAAAATTCTATCAAATAACTTTATGCTTTGTGTAACAAGCACTAATTGCAAAAGAGCATTTTCTGTACAAAACAGGCCCAAGACAAAATTTCAGATGTTCTTTGAAGGCTGAAAAGATAGAATGTTTAATGAGAATTGTAATGTTAGGCCCAGAAATTCCATTGTATGATCCCAGTTCTGCAATTAAAATGTGGGACAGTGCTGAGAACGGAAGAAAAGCAAGGCTTTCACAATCATTCAAATAGAGAATTAAGAAGATTAAAAATATATAAATGTGTTTTTCTAGTATTTTCTTGAGGCCAAATACACAACAAGATAATATAGATACATTTATAATATAAATGATTCATTCACTACATAAACCAGAATACAGATGTTTGTCCACGATACTATATTACTGACCGCCTACAGCAGATACAGAGGCAAAGTTTGATCAGTACTATATTAATCAAATCATGGCCAAAATTACATGGAACACTGCAACATTACTTAATTTTTTTCTTGATGGGTTAAGTTTAACTTTCCCTTCCATCACTCCTATCCTAACTATTAGATTGCTAATAATCATTCTGAACTTATACACCTTCTCTATTTCAAGATATTTTCATGTTATCGAGACTAACAAGTTCTTTAATACCCACATATGGAACATAAATATCACTAATTATCATATGCTGTTACAATAGGATGATATAAAAAAAACATGGGTCAGAAGGCCATTGAAGTTACCCTTCAACAACTAAGACATCAAAACCAAACTAAATATGGCCTTTACATCTACATACTCATCCACATAAAATAATTCAAACTGAAAACATCCATCACCTATATAGGCTTGTCCATTTTCAAGCAAATCATTTTATTTGTTAAAAAAAAACTGTCAATAATCAAGTCTATGTTTGAAATTTCAAAGCTTAAACCTATTAATTCTGTATTTTTGCATATAAGTTTGTATTCCCAGCTTTTACATTCCGTCACTCAAGCACAGCAGCTATTAAGACCGTCAAAACACTTGAACAACTAAATCAAGCCCTCTCTGAAATATAAAAACAAGACCAAAACTCTTCAAAGATCTTTAGTTTAACTTATGTAAACCCATTAATATTCTTACAGTTCTGCTTTGCAATCTTTCCAAGAGATTAGTCACTTACTTCTAACAAAGAGGCTAAAACTCGTTAATTAACCCTTTCACTGCACAATTAATTTTCAGGATGATTCCCAAATAGTGTCAATTATTCACCAAAAAATAAAAGTATGAATTTGACCCTTTGTATTACTTGTTCAGTATTGAAAGAATCTGAATTTTCTATTTCTGACAGTAATATTCCTTGAAAACCACATGGGATAGTGAAAAATAATAATTTAAACAAAAAATTGAGGAAAATTAAAAGAAAAGTGTTCTCCAGTAAATGGCATAAATATAGGCAAAACTAAGTCAATAAGAGGCCGAAATCTTTACAAATTATAAAACAAATTATTTAGATAAGAATATCCAAGATATAAAGAAGCTGTCTTTATATAGATTCTATGTGTGTTCCTGTAAAGTTGGCAATTTCATAGTGAGGCATATAAACGTCCAGGTTTCACGGCATAGAACACGGATGGCATCATCACGCATGCGGGTTTGGTGACTGTTTGAAGCAAGGGGGATATTACTGTACGTCACAGTAGAGGGAAGCTTTTTTTGGTAGCCGTAGAGTAAGTCCAAATTTTTGTGGGTATAAATGCTTATTTGGATATATCCAAACTACGCAGCAAAAGGGTTAATCTCATATGGGGCTACGATAATATTTTTACTCTTGAATTCAATATTCTTATGAAAAGAACCCAAAAATATATACTGTACATGTTTTCACACAAGAGCTTTACAGCTTTCTCAACAATCTCACCTGAATTTTCTTTTGCCAATATACCAGTACTCCTTTCCCTTAGGAAGTTCTTCCCAAATTATCTTGTACTTTTTGAACCTGAATAACAAAATTTGATGCCTTACACTACAAATTGTCTTTAATAAGCAATACAGATATAGTTTAAAAAAAATAGACTCAGTACTAAGTTAGAAGTTTAGTTCACTTTGGTTTCAACCTGGAATATACATGGAATAATAACCCAATAATACAGAAGTAAGGTCAGGTCAAATAAGTGAGCTAAACATGCACACGTATATGGAGACAAAAAAACATGGTAAAAACTTACTGGTAGAGAACTATAGGCAGAAACAAGAAGATGATTTAGAGAATCAGTTTGTGAGCTAGAGTCTTCATTAGCTTCTTCATGAGTTCGCTTCCTTTTTCCAAAACTAGCCATCACCAGCTTTTTAATGTAACACCTAAAAACTAAAATATGCCTTTGGCTTTAGAGTGTTTCTCAATAAATCCATAAAATGTCATATTTAAATAATAGATTTTCACTAAATTCCCTTGATTTTTTGGAAACAAATCCACTAGTTGACAGACTATTACAATGACATGGACAAGTTCTGTACTATTTCATTGCAAGATGTTAAAAAAATCTACCCTGTCCAGATATTGAATGAGGAACTACTGAATCACTTTAATATTATGAAACCAGTGATCTCCCAAATTAGCTGTTGTACCTAGTCAGATAGATCTCTGTCTGACTGTCATGAATATTTCAAGTCTGTGATTGAAGGTAAAGTTACAGCTTAACACCCTGTTATAATATGAAATCGATACTTGTAATATCCTTTACAGTTAATACATTAAAACTCGTACTAATGCTTTGATATACATGTACATAAAATTTTAAGTATAACTATCTTTATTACTACATGAATCTTTTCTACTCTCCATATAATCTTCTTACAAACAGTGAAACTACATTTGTTAAAAAAAAATCTTCTTTATTTTATAAAACTAATGTTATTCTAACACTGTGTTAAATATGTTGTTATACTCTATATAGTCCTAATAAAAACTGTTCAGGATGTTATGGGACTCTCACTCTAAACTACAAATCCCTATGGCTATTGCCTTTTTTGCTATAACTTCACCACTATTTATTAGTATGGACATCAATGATGATAACCAGGTTTATGTTTATTGTAATATTATTCTAATCTCAAACCTTTTTTTCTTTTTCTTCTTGGTTCTCTCGCACAGCTTAGACAATTTATGTTCTTTGATCCTTATTTTACAGGTTTTATTTTTTCTCTGTTGGGAGAGTAATCTGTATTTTTACATCCTAAAGAACCTTGTAAAAGATATTTTGAGTACTAGTACTAGATAGGGATCCTTAGCATTAGGTACCTATTGTGATCATACACTGGTGATATATTTCCTGAATATCCTTTCTTTATGAATGAGACATGTGATCTTTAATCTTTTCCTTTGTTATTTCTTTTCTATTGAATTTTTAGTATATTACCAAGATTACCCATTGTCTCTTAATGTTCTTGTAATGTCTTATATCCCTGTTGGATCATTTTATACTGCTGTTTGGTTAAAAGTCTGCTGTTTTAGCTTCTTGCATATTTTAGTAATAAAGCAATTTTTGTGATCATTACATCCAGCAAGGAAAGTCTACCTAATTTTTTGTTTTTTTAGGTATACTGGATGCAATTATAATGCAAATGAGTCATTTATGTATTTGAGTTATGTTTTTGGTGTAGGGCTTTTAAAACTGAATTTTACACCAACTCATCAAGCATTAAAATAGACCTTTGCAAGCACACTTTGTGGTAGATCAGTGGGCATATGCCCAAGGATTCTAAGGTTACTCCTATTTTCAAAGAGGTGAGAGGAGTTGGTCTGGAAATCATAGACCAATTTGTGTTATTTCTGTAGTTTTTCTAGAGAGTCTGATAAAAGAATTTTCTCAAAATGATCTACTGAAATATGATATAAAAGAAAATCAACATGGATTCACTAAAGGGAAATCTTTTCTTACTAACTTAATTTTGTTCAGGATGTTACTTATCATCTGAATGATGAAAAGGGTGTGAACTTATCTGGATGATGCAAAGGAATGGAAATGGTGTACTTAGATTTTCAAAAAGCTTTTGATAAGATACCATTAGTGGGGAGTTGAGGAAAGACTAGTAAGTTGTACTGTTAGGTGGTTGGATAAAAGAAAGCAAAAAGTTATGAAAGGAATGCAGTCAAACTGGACTCCTGTTACAATTTCAGTGCTTTTTTGGTGCTACTATAGTGTGCGGTCTACCGGGACTTTTACACTATAGCGTGCAGTCTACCGAGACTTTTACACTATAAACAAAGCATATAAAGATGTTGAATAATAGCAGTCTATCTGGAGTATTTACACTGCTAAATAATTTATATTAATGACACTGATATGAACAAACTTAGTAAATTTGTAAAGTTTGCAGGTGACATTATACATTTGTGTAATTCTAGCTGTACCGAGAATACAGAAGTATTCAGAATGACTTTGATCAATTCGTTAGTTACACAAGTATTTGGCAAATGACCCTTAGTTATTTTAAGTGCAATATAATGCACCATAATTTTGATCACATTTGATATACATAGGAATCCACTCAATGGCACAAATGATTAAAACAACTTTGGCACAGTGGTGAACAAGTCAATCAAACCATTAAATCAGTGTTCTGTTCTTAGTAACAATGCTAAAAGAATTTTAGGATTTGTTCATAGATACACTGATTATAACTCAAAAGAGGTAATAATCTCTCTACATAAATTACCAATTAGAATTCACTTGGAATACCGTATACGTATTATCTGGTCTCATTATCTAAGAGCAGATGTAGACTTATTGGAAAGAGTTCAGGAAGGCTATTAGGATGATTTCAAGGATGGAAGGGTTATATTATAGGGTCAAGATCTCTTAAATTATTTTATCTTGAGAAAAGAAGATGATCTTATTGAAGTTTGCAAGATTATCTTTGAAATAAATAGGCTAAAGACCTATGATTTTGTTGTGCTATATTCTGAGGACAATAGGATGACAAAGTTTAAGATTTGGAAGACAGGCTCTAGTAAAGAGGTTTTATTTCTCAAACAGAATGATTGATTTATGGAATGAGTTGCCATCACTGGCATTAGCATTAGTGAAGGCTGGCACTTAAAAAGAGTATAAAATGAGAAAACAATAATTTCCTGAAAAAATAAAGGGTAGGTTTACATTTTTGTCTCAAAGGTAACCATACATGTAGATACAGCCTTAAAAAAAAAGAACAAAATAGTCTCTTGTTGGTCTATTTCCATTTGTAAATGGACCAATACATTATACAGAAATCACATACAATACCTGTCAAGTTTATACTGGCCATATAAAGGATGTCTGGTGTAAATATATAACTACAAGACACTAGTTGCACCAATTATACTGTACTATCAGTGTACTCTTTTCATCAGGTACATAACAAGATGGTCAGGATGTTTATTTATTGATAGTGTAAATATATAACTACAAGACACTATTCGCACCAATTATACTGTACTATCAATGTACTCTTCTCACCAGGTACATAACAAGATGGTCAGGATGTTTATTTATTGATAGTGTAAATATATAACTACAAGACACTAGTTGCACCAATTATACTGTACTATCAATGTACTCTTCTCACCAGGTACATAACAAGATGGTCAGGATGTTTATTTATTGATAGTCCAAAAATAAGTCATCACTTATGTCTATATTTGAACAGTTGAAGACTAAGTAGAAGACCGATGAAACAACATGTACAAACACATTTTCTATTCTGAATATCAAAGCCATGTATTCAGGCTAGTGAGCATGGGAGGAAATTATGTCCATCTTTTAAATTTAAAAATAAAATAATTGAACCTTGGCTTAAGTGAAATTGTTTGGCTTCATTTAAATTTTTTTTAAATGCAACAATTTCATTTTAAAGCTTAATAAAATCAAGTCTTATACCTGATTAGATTAGACCTAACCTTTCAATAAAATATAAATATTATTAATAGTAATACAATAAAATCGACTGAATTAAATGTTCTTTATGCCAACAACCACTCCTAAAGTCTTATAAGTTATATTATAAGACTTTATAATTATAAATTATAATAGTTACATACATGTTACCCATATCTATTCCTAATCCTAGTTGTAATTAAAAAAGATTGAAGGTAGTTAACTTAAAATCACGTTTATCTATTTTTAATCTTTAAACCTTGGGTGTCCTGTAATGACCTATTTCAGCAAAGAAACCTTGTGAAGGCCTATTCATGGTAATAATTATGATAAATTTTAATAACTTCGACCTACGATATGGCAGTATTTAGTGTTAGTAATAGTATTACCTTACTAATAGTACTACTACTAACAATAATAATAGTGTGCAAGGACCTCGGCTATATGCGTAATGTAAAATTATTATTAGTTGTGCAGAGACGCATATCATCACGCTAAAACTTAATAGAAATTAGAAGTATTAATACAATTATTATTATTAACTTAATCCTGGTTATAAACTGAGTAATGCCGGATAGAACTTGCAGCTAAATCACTCATTGAGTCATTATTAAATTCACAGTCTTATCCCAAAATTAAAATACTATTTTAAAACTGAGAAATTTTTATCAATATTCATTATCGTAATGAAACTCACTATTTATTAGTTCTTATTAATACTATACTCGTCCGAAATATTAGCGATTAAAGTACCTACTAGTTATAACACTCAGCACAGGAAGACTAAATTAAATTTGGTTTATTTTCTATTTAAATAGTCTACGTCACCAACATACGCTTACGATCACAAACTTTACGTTTACTGGAATAACTTAAGGTGATGTAAACATCGTACCTTACGACACACAGTTATTCCGGTTTGAACTAACCTTTTTGAGGGGAATACTTATCTATTGGCTAAGGTCGACCACACGGTGGAGCCGATAAGTACAAATTGTATAAGAAATACTTTGTGCAGTGTAATAATAATACACGCATGATTAAAGAATCAATAAAACATACAGAAAACTCCCGACGAGTCTCGATGGGCTACGATTTTCATTCTTAAATGTTATTTTAGCGTTAGTTCTATTATTTACTTAATTCCAACATTACAGAATGACAAACGGAATTTCGTAATTTTTCTTTGGTTTTAAAGGTAAAGTATTTTGTAAGTGTGAAATATTTTATATACAACAAATTTCAAACGCAACTGAGTTTTTACCAATTGAATCACCAGAAGGCATTATTAAACTTGAAATGAAATGGCGTTGTTTTTACAAAATGTGCAGAAACAATTTTTCAAAAGGAATTGTGGCTGGAATGTTTAAGATGGGATAGTAATAATGTTGATATTGATATGTTGTGATAAATATAAGATCCAATATCAAACGCATTCATTCGTCACGAAACTATTTAAAACAAGCATCACAAAGCCCACATTTTTCTGTAAAACTCGGACATCCTGAGAGCTAAAGGAAAGCCTGGAGAATCCGGATAAAATCCGTATATTGACTTTAATATTGTCCTTTGTGCGTTAGAATTATGGTATTCTCGGATGAAATTATTTTCTCGCAAGAATTAAATAGATCCGTTTAATAACAGCAGAATTGAACAGGAAGTTTTAGAGTAATCTGAATTTGAAAGCTCGACTGAGTTTTAAAGTACATGACAAATAACTAAAACAATCTTTATTTGCGAAACAATAACAAAGGGTGCGTACTTACAGAGACAAATGGGCGGTTTCATCTACTTGATCAATAAATAAATTTGCAGGTTTTGTTCTCTCAAGGTAGATTTCAGTGGAACTAGACACATTGAAAAACAAGTAGAACGAAGCTAAGGGTGGAGATATCTATTTAGCAAGAAATCGCATATCTCTTTTCTTACGATAGCGTCACCACGTGGTTGGTCGTTCTCCCATTCATCGTCTGTAGTATATAGACATCACCCACTGAGTCAGAGAAGGATGTTGCAGTTGTTGGCCCTTTCAACACTGATACTACAACAGAGTCGATTTAACAATTAACTATCCAACAAAAGCTTCACCATTCTGGAGACCAGCTGTATTGCAGGTTTAAAGCACTGGTATGTTAGTTAAAACAAAACATTAAGGCATGTATAAAATTTCATTGTCCATGGTATCTCCTTACAACTACCACCAGTCAGCTAACTACCCTTTTAGCACGGGCTCGGTCTGTTGGACCAACCTCGTAACAATTTTGTGCTTGTTATAGTTTTAGTACTATAACTATTAAATTA